TTCAGGCTGGCCACACCCCCTTTAGGGTGGAGGGTCCCCACGGGGGTGCCTGGCCAGTCTGGGTGAGGGGCTGAGGGCCGTTTTCAGGCTGGCCAAGCACCCTGGCGACATAAGCTCCCAGCCTCTCCTTTTTTTCTTTTTCTTTTTTTATTCTGGGATTTATTTACCTTCTATAATTGAAACTTTGTTGCCTTTAGCAGAGGCCTGTGGAAAGCTTGGCTTCCTCCATCGCCAGGGGCAACCCACTCCTGCTGGCTCCAGCTCCGTGGCCACGGCTGGCTGAAAGCAGGCATCTGGGGTTTGTTTACCTTCTATAATTGAAACTTTGTTGTTTTCAGTGGAACTCAGAGCCGGGCCGCGGCAGGCGGGGAACCTTGGCTTCCTCCATCACTGGAGCAAGCAAGCCTCCTTCTCACTCCAGCTCCATGGCTGCCGGCCACCATCTTGGTTGGGTTAATTTGCATATAGTCACTCTGATTGGCTGGTGGGCATGCCTTAAGTCATAGCGAAAGTACAGTCAATTTGCATTTTTGTCTTTTATTAGTATAGGATATATATACAAGTTTGATAATGAACTTTATAGTTTGCAAAGGGCTGTTACATACATAATCTCACTTCATCCTCACACCAGTCCCAAAAACAACAGGCACTTTTACTAGTTACATTTTACAAGTGGGGAAATTGAAGTCTTGAATGGTTAGGTAACAAATCTAAGGTGTAACACATCAAAGGTGCTAGGACTAGACTTTAAAACTTTTGACTCCAAATCCCCAAATATACTAACTTCTTGTTGGTTGACACATTTTTATTTTTTTCACTCTTACAAGATCTTTCTCTCTCTTTTGCCCCTCTTTATTTTACTTTTACCAACTTCCTTGCCATTTCTTTCATTTTCCTCCCTTCCCTTGCCATTTTCTGCTTAGTTCCTCTTATTTTTATTCATGCTTTGACTCTGCCAGCAACCTGAGAGAGTATAGCTCAGCCAAGCAGACGTTCTCAGATCTGAAGAGTCTGGTGATGCACTCTGAGAGGCAGAAAGCTTTTCTGAATCTGAGGTGGTTTCTGTTGCAGCAAAAACATCACCCACTGAGAACTAGTTCTGGGAAAAGGAAGTACCATGGGGTAGATGTAAGTACTTTTCCAAATCCTCCTTTATGCCAGCAAATAAGGATCTCATAGGTCCTTAAGTTCATGTGGAGGGGGTTGATCTAAGAAAAGATCCCAAATATGTGGTCTTCCATATGTTCTTTTGTCCCAACTTGGAGCTACGGAAAGCAAACCTTTACCTACCTCTGCTCCAGGAAGACAACCAGGCTCTGTACAGAAAGACCACTTATAACACTTGGATAAATCTGGATCATTCCCCCTTGAGACTATATAAATATATATTGGCTGAACCATAAAGCAAATGTCCAGGCTTCTATTCCTCTCCCAAAAAACCAAGTGTGCTCATTAGCATGAGTTATAACTATCCACAGCGGTGTTTCTCAAAGCATGGTCTTACCAGAAGCATTAGCATCAACTGAGAAAGTGTTAAACATGCAAATCTAATTAATTAGAAACTCCACGGGGAGGGAAGTTAATAAATCCTCCAGGTGATTCTGATGCTGGTTGAAGTTTAGGAATCAATGGTCTAAGTACAATTGCATGGGAACAGCTCTGCACTAGGAGCTAGGATATATGGGACTTATCGTAGTTAAGCCCCTCACCCACCTAGGAAAGCAGTAAATTATATCCCCTCTCCTGGCCCCATTTCCTCACTGGTCAAATGATGAAGTCTTCCTTGGTAAGTGCCAGGCACTCTTCCCTTATGCATATTCTGTGACCCTTCATGAAGATTATAGTGTGAGCCAGCAGTGGTGTAAGGCCCCCACCCCAACCTCATCAATATGACTTGTTCATACTCCACAATAATCTTGCATTTTTAAAGTATTGAAGCTTATTTTCCAAAAGTCTTCAGTTAAAATAAAGTTGACCCTGGGAGGAGGTGCCTCAGCTATCACTTATGTTATGGCTCACATGTCAGCTAGGCTGGGACATAGAGCAGGTGGTTCTTGAAGCAACCAGGATCCAGAAACAAGGGCTTGGGCTGATGCCAATGGAGTAAGTCAACAAAGACAAACTTCATCCAATTGCCAAGTTCATTGAGTTCTAGCCCCAACTCTGTTAGATTAAAATGTGGACTTTTTTGCCCAGTTATGAGACTATCTTTCCCTCTTGCTGCATTAAATATAATGTTTACTAGAGAGATTTATGTATACAGAAGAAGCTAACAGCTCAATAGAGGTTGATTTGTCAAGAATCTGGTTGTCATTGTGAGTCATATGGGCTGAAGTATTATTTGAGACACTCAGGCAAAAAAGCATCCTCCCTGAGACTGTCCTTTGATGCCTGTCAATAGGAATGTTCACTTCAGTCTTCAGCCACCACTTGTTTATGGAATCCCCAATACGTGCAGGAACTAGGGATATAGCAATTGAGTTAGCAATGATCCCTTCCTTTATGGAGCTGACAATCCGGCAGAAACTATGCACATTGCCTAAGTGTAATGAGTGCTAGGAGGAAGTATTTTGGGAGCAAATTTAGAAAAACTCACTTAATGCCAGGATCTTGGGTTAGCAGAGAAAGCCAATGACCTTGGGGACAAGATGGTTGCATTTCTTACCCAAGCATATCTGCAGGATGCAACACACTCCAGTCAATAACTGTGGCTCTCTCAAATGAGCAGGGAAAGACAGTATTCTCCTCAGAGGAGTTCTCCTCCTCTCCAACCAACCTCCCCCCTTCCTTCCTCAGAGTCGCCCCAGTGGAGAGGGCTGGGATAGGCATGAATATGTCAGCATGTGGGAGGGGGGGGGCGGGGGAGGGTCAATGTGAATTTTGTGGGTTGTAGCCTGACTTAACTACTTCCCACTACCTATTATTTTTAGCTATTAACGTGGTAATTTTCTGCTCTAATATTCATACAACTCACACGTTTAAAAGGAATATCCTGTGAAATCCCACAATACACAAATTACTGAATTCTTGGTGAATATGTAAAGGCAAGGTTGTGATGGAATCTGAGGCTGAAGCCTCCTCCTGCCACCTGATTTGTGCACATCTCTCCACATTATCTAAGAGAAAGGGCCCCCAGGTACAAAACCAAGTACACACTTACTGTTGTCCTTAGCAACACGATGTCTGCTTCTTGCAAGGAACACGGGACACAATTTGCCCACACATGCCAAGCAGGTTTCCAGTAAAACACCAAGGGGAGGATCCCAAATGAGAAGATGGATCCAGCAAGGCAGAGGGTTTTCCGGCAGCCGTGAGTCTGGTAGCCGAATATCTCCTGGGGCAGAACCAAAAGGACCCCAAATATTGGTTAAGCACAATAAGCAACAAATAAACAAATTGGGATTTTGGTGATGAAACTGAGAGCAAAGAGTAAAGAAGTCAAGCAGGAGGAGGGAAGGACAGGGAGAAGGGTGGAGGGAGTGGAGAAGAATCCCTGACAACATGTAAGATATGATCCAAGAAGTTGCAATATAACTGGAAATTTCAGTTTCTGCAATTTGAGCACCCAGCAACCCCGTTCCAAGCACTATGGTAGTTGCTATGTTGTCTTATTTGAGCCTCACAATCTTTCTCTGAATAGGCTAGCCCCCTCATTTCATAAATGATGACACTGAGCTCAGAAAAGCTGAATAGAATGACTTGTTCAAGGCCACATAGCTAAGAAGTTTGGTTGCCAATATTCAAACTCAGGTCTTTCAGCCTCCAATTTTGAACATAATCTACAGCCTTTACATATATGAACATGTGACAGGTGACAGAAACACTAGGTGACCCCAGCAACCAGTGATTCCTTTGGCTGGGACCAACAGCCTAGTAGGCAAGAGGGACTAGAGACAAACCTTGAGTTTGAAGTCAGGATTTGGTGAAATGCCACCTTGCCTTTGGGAGTTTAGGGTAGAGCTATGCATTCACACCCTCCTCTCATGTTCAATAGTGAAAAGAATTTTACAGAAAGAGGGGAAAATCATAGGGACTATTTGGTTTACTTTGACTGATGCCTATAGAGCACCTGCTATGGTCCCTGGAGGATACAAATATGAAAGGGATAAGAGTCTTACTTCTAATAATTTATAATTTGTGCAAACTTCTTCTTTCCAAGGAAAGCCTGGGACAGAATAGAAAACCACCCCTGAAGTTTATGGCCTCAGTTTCACAGCTATATTCCACGAAGACATAGGTACATTTTATACTGGTTAGAATGGCTCAAATTGAGAAATAGAGAGTCCTGGTTAAAAGCACATTCTCTGGGCCAAGACACTTTGGGTTCAAAGCCTAGCTCTGCCACTCATTGGGTGAGATCTTGAAGAAGTTATTTAACCTCTTTATTCCTCAGTTTATCATCCATAAAATGGGGGTGGTGATAGTAAACCCACCTCACAGGATTGATATAAAGCAGGGGTGGGGCACACCCGGCCTGTGGGCTGTATAAGGCCTACAGAATCGTTTGGTCTGGCCCTACACAAGCATTAGGGGTAAGTTAATTAAATATTTGACCAAATATAATAGGCTAATTTTAAGTTGATTTTCTATGGCCCACATACGATGGTATAAATATCCAAATAGCCCTTGGCAGAAAAAAGATTCCCCACCCTTATTATAAAGCTTAAATTAGTTAATATGTGTAAATGCTATGTAAGCACTTACTGCTGCTGCTGTTGCTACTGCTACTATTATTTTACCATTTCCCAAAGTATAGATCTAAAATTCTACCCCCTTGTTTATTGGCATTTAGATCGAAAAATTCCTGGTGTCAATAGTTTTGCTCTTGTTAGAATTGCCTGTTAAGATGACAAGGAGCGAGAACATGCAACTTTAAATCCACCAGCTTCTCTATCTCCCTTGATAAAGATTACATTATCAGAAAAGGTTCTGTGATTCTTGGCTGAAAGTTGCTTCATGTGTAATTAGGCCCCTCCCTCTCATTAGCAACACATACAGGTGCTGAATGGCTTCCTTGGGAATGGCCCACATTTGCTTTACCTTTAATAAAATGTTCACATTGACTCAGAAGTACAAGCTCTTGACTGAGTTTGCGAAATAGAAAGTCTATCCTGACATAAAAACTCCTCTCCCAAACTCAATCGCTGCTCTCCAGATGCCAAGCCTGAAGCAATGCTTTGTTAATCCACATTGTGCGAGGTCCCAATCCTAAATTCCATGTCTGTCCTGAGTCCATCCTACCATCTTTTCCCGTGTGCTTTTTTATGTTCTGACACTTGAAAATAGATCAACTTCTCCCATCCAACTAAGCCATCTTTTAAAAATATTTAAAAGTTTTCTTATATTGCCATTGAGCCCCATTCAATCTGCCTAAGCTATGCCACTTCTATAGCACAAACCTTCCTGTTACCACCCATTCTTTCACAGTCAATGAAATGAGAACCTCTGTAGTTTTCAGTGTCTTCACGTTCATTATCAAAATTAAGTAAACAGGAATGACTATCCTCATTTTCCAGCTAAGAAAAACTAAAGTTTAAAGTTATTATATGTAATCATAATTATTAGCAACTATTGGGTAACAATGATAGCAGCTAACATTAAGTGAGTACTTAAAAGCACTTCAACAAGCTCTTTACACATTTAGTTTAAAAAATTATTAGATAAAGCTCATCCATAACTCAAAACTGAGCTTCCAGTCTAGACCTTCCCAGCAAAATGAAATAATGTAACTGGCCACTCTCACTCTAAGGCTCTTTTTCATTCATCTTAAATTTCCATTCAATTTAACAACTGTTTTTTAAGTGTCCCCCAAATAGCTGGCACATGTTGGACACAGAGATGAATGAGACCATGTCTCTAGTCTCATAGAAGCTCATTCATTCAATAGGAAGAGAGACACAGAAGTAAATAAGATTAGATAAGGTTAGGCAATAAAAGGGTTATATGGAGGGGTGACTACAAAAATTGTCAACTAGAGAACGAAGATGGTGGCATAGGTAAACACCTGTACTTGCTGCCTCCCACAACCACATCAAAACTACAACTAAAAGACAAAACGGGTATCATCCAGAACCACGGGAAGGCTGGCTGAGTGGAAGTTCGACAACTAGAAGGAAAGAGAAAAGCGCATTGAGTCTGGTAGGAGGTGCAGAGGTGTGGAAGTGCGGAGGTATGGAGGCACGTGCGAAAGGGGCAGGCAGCTGGGTACGCTGTTGTCTTTTTCAATTGGGAGGGAGATACAAACTCCCGACTGCTCTGAACTCCAGTTCCAGGCGAGACTCTGGGGACCCAAACTCATACAGGGAGAAACTGGACTGTCTGGCATCCGGCTGGAACTTGAGGGCAGCTTTCTCTCAGAGGTGCTTGCAGCATTCATTGTTCCTGCACAGGGCCGCGGGACACAGAGACCCAGGGACCTATCAGGGCAGGGCTGACAGCAACCATTGCTGTTTGCACCACCCCTGTGACTCCCTGAGACCATGCCCCACCCAATTTACAACCTCACCCAAGCTGTGCACAGAGGATTTTGCAATGAACGGTCTGGCCTTTTGCAACCTAACCTAACAAACTGCAGCTGAGTCAAAGAACCCCAGAGCTTCCAAAAGAAGGCCTAAGGCTTGTCAGCAGCCTACATTGCCTCACAGCTGCGCCTCATCTGGGCACCTCCAAACCCCAAACAAAGAGAGAAATCAGCAGATCTCTCTGTAGCTCCTGCTGGGTGGCCTCAGGCAGTGGCTGACTTTGCACCTCCTTGGAGAAGAGCCAGTGTACCTAGTGGTCAAAGTAAGACCACACTAGATTGCAACCCTTCAGATCCATAAGAGATACACTCAGGGGCAGACTCAGTGAGCACCAAAGCCCCACTGAAGCAAGTCCTGCCCCATAAGGGTGTTTCAGCACAGCAGTTCTCCCATTCTAGACAAAACTGGTCCTCACAGCCAATTGACCTGGAGGTCAATTCCTCCCAGTGATACCAACAGCAATCAAGGCTTAACTACAACAAAACTGTGCACCCAGCCCACAAAGGGGTGCACCCAAGAGCATTTACCTCAGATGACTGGGGAGGCTGAGCCACTGGGCCCTATTGGACATCTAGCACACAAAGCTGCTCTATCAACACAGGGAAGCAGCCAAAATGCGGAGACAAAGAAACATGTCACAAATGAAAGAAATGGAGGAAAGCAAACTACTGGATATAGAGTTCAAAACCATGGTTATAAGGTTGCTCAAGAATCTTCTAGAAACCTCTGAGAAATTTAGTGAGACCCTCAAGGGTATGAAAAAGGACCAATTAGAAATTAAGCATACACTGACTGAAATAAAGAATAATATACAGAGATCCAAGACCAGACTAGAGGATTCCAAGAATCAAGTCAAAGATTTGAAATA